TCATATATGTTTACGATTGTTGTGATTGTATTTTCAATCGCTCACCTGTTATATATTGTTCTCTGCATTTTTTGTAATGAGTTTTGTATAATTGTCATGGGGGAAACGTTTGTTAACCCATGAATATATGAAATGAAATGAAAATATTAGCATGGTTCTAAAACTCCATGATGTCGAATATTTTTATCTTCTGATTCGAAAGTTTGGTGACCTTTGTTAATCTTTATGCGCCAGAGATAATGACCTATACGACTCAATTTTTTCCCACGATATGTAGTTGTGGCATATCTAAATGAATTTAACTGAACTTTCATTAAACCAGCTAATTTATCAACCTCTCACAATACCCATTTTGTTCCAGGTAAAGCGCTCGCCAACCTGAAGCTCCCAGGCGTCGGCGCCCTTTCCCAGTCAACGATCTGCAGGTTCGAATCCCTCACCCTCTCCCACAACAACATGATTGCGCTCAAGCCGATCCTGCAAGCGTGGCTCGAAGAAGCGGAGGCGCAGGCGAAAAACAAACGCCGCGACCCGGACGCGCCGAGCGTACTGCCGGCGGGCGAGAAAAAGCGAAAAAGAACTTCGATAGCGGCGCCGGAGAAGCGCAGCCTCGAGGCGTACTTCGCCGTGCAGCCGAGACCATCCGGCGAGAAGATCGCGGCGATAGCGGAGAAGCTGGACCTGAAGAAGAACGTCGTGCGCGTATGGTTCTGCAACCAACGGCAGAAGCAGAAGCGGATGAAGTTTGCAGCGCAGCACTGACCCGACGTCAATTTCGGCTTCCCGGTAAATTAGTGAAGTTTGTGTCGGTTGACTGGACGAGGCAAAGCGAACTATGCTCAAAGCACTGTACATAATAGTCGACACAGGTACCTTGACAGGTTTTTCGGCACGAAACAGTCAGTGATCTGTTGAGTAAGTGGTTATGAGGCATGATTGATGAAAGTCAGCTTGAATATGCTATGACCTTGGTGGAGGTGAGTTTCAAAAATTCTTTGTAAATGGAAAACTTACAGTTTACGTTCTATAATATCGTTCTGGAATTAGTGTTTTACAGGAATATGACATGCGTTGTGATGTCATAATTCTATGTTGGCAGCCATCAGAATTGTTTCAAAAAATAGATTCTAGGGTGAAAGTGAGGTATTTTTGCAATCTGTTGAAAAAAAACTGTTTTTTCGTTACGACAACCCTTAGAAGTCTAAACTTGTTCGAGCTAAGGATTATTGAGGTCTTATCTCTTAACGTGTGATTCCTAACATTGGGATAGAGATCTCAAATTGTTTGAATACAGAAACAAGTCGAACTTAATCGCATTCCCATGTGACACTCATTCAAATAATGACTTACAGAGGTAGGGCTTGTAGGTGAAGTTAGTCCATTTATAGGTGAAACATGTCATCTGAATATGGGCACCAATTACACTGTTCTTCAAGTAAAGAATAATGTGCCAAAGAACATAAGAGAGAATTTTAGTTTATGAAAAATGTCACCAGATAGAAAACAGTGACAAAAGTGGTAGAAATGTTTGGTTCTGTTTTTTGAAATACTTTTTCTTTCTGGAAAAAGCAACACTAAGTTGATTCATGATATCGATTTTTTCTATAAAGTTATGTAGGACGAAACGCTTCCATGACTAATTTCAGCCCTGATTTTTGAAAATCCACAACTTTGTTATGAAAAATGAGAATTAAAAATTACTATGTTTCTTTATCACTATGGACTTGTAACTAACGTTACTGCAGTTTCGTCCTACACGAATATTTTCAAATGAATTCAATGAACTGAATGTAACTGAATTGTAACGTCAGTTACAAAAAATTGAAGTGGTCTACAGTAGATCAACAACAGCGGTTCTGGTCCACTTCAAGGTCGCGTATCGTTGGTAATCATTTCAGAGAGAGACTTTAGTGAGTAGAAGATAGAAAAACGTGTGACGTAATCGATGCAGAGAAGGATGGATTGAGTATCGGAAAGATTCAAAGGCTCCACCTCACTCCTTAGGTCCACTTGGAACTCCGCCTCACCCCTCGTGTCCACTTGGGCACGCGGGGTGCCACCCCACCTCTCAGGCCCCCTTGTTACGTACCAGTCACGTGGTAATATCGAAAGTAACTGCGAATTGTTGATATGATGATCTGTTACCACGTAGTAACTGCTACATCTATCCATTCATAGCTTTGTTGTTTTTCGAAATATTTCAACGCGCAACCACTGTTTTTTTGTCATTTCCTGTTGAAATTGAGTGAACAAGAAAAAACTTGCATGCTGTCAAATTTTCACAATTTATGAGAAAAAAATGAAAGTTTGACCATGAAATTGGAGGTCGAAGAATCAAATTTGAAAATCTTCTGTAGTTTTCTCGTATTCTTCATCAGTTCAGCTAGAAAATATTCTTGGACTTAGATCGGCATTATTTTTGGATCAACAGATATTATTTTTCAAATTTTTCTTCTTCATATTGATCTCTCTTAACGCGGCACGAATCTGACATACTACACTATCTTTTAGAGCGGTGGGAAAGGAATTGATTGATCGATTTCATTCATTGGTGAAAAGATACAGTCTAACAGTATCAAATATATAAATTTCCGAAATTCCTTAGTTTCAGAATCACTGGAACTTATCCTTCAAGAAATTGTAATAACTCCTCTCATCCTGCTTTATGAATTTGAATTGATAGCATTAGAGAAACGAAGAAATCAGGCACCTGTTTAATTTTTGTATGAGTTATTGAATGGAGAAATAGACTGATCTGCACTACTATCGAAAATTGAAATCATTGTTCCAAGATTAGCATCTAGACACAATAATACTAATTTATTCAAAAAGGCACAAATGAACTTGATGTTGAAGCCACTAATTAACTTAATGCGTCGTATTGCGAGCAGCTTGTCAAATATTGATATTTTTCGTTACAGCATACGTGAAATTGAAAATAAGTCTCCTGCGACTCTATAGTCAATGAGTATAGAAACGTTCATAATCTTTTACATTTTCGTTTTTCTTTCACTTTTGTTTTTTTTTGTCTCACATCAATTGATATAAAAAAATAATCAATCATGTATACTTTGCTCTGTAAATGGGAAAATGTTGGGCAATAAACGCTATTATTATTATCTGATGAGCGAGCAACATAAGATAAAAAATCAACGCTCCTCATTTACGTCATGAGTTATGAAGGAGATGAGAAAATTATAGTACCTGCTAATGAGCACCTCTCAGACCTTTATCAACAAACATTTAGTTGGGCCAATTTCGACACTTTTTTCTGTGTTGCAATATACCCTGTTTTATAGAAAAGCGAAACCAGTTAGTGGCCGCTCTTTAACATATTTTGAATGAAAAAAATCCCCATATCCAGCCAGAATACCTACTTTCTAAAACAATTTTGATGGGTGCCAATGCAAAATTATGATTTGGTAAACATATTGAGTTTGTACATATTCCTTATGATATGCTGAGTCCGAAACCAGATACATGTGATACTGCAAAATACAATTATAAAACATTGACAAAAGTCCTTCATCATCTAGGAATAGACAAAAATCTGCTCATGAGTAAAGTGATTACATTTCTGAAGATGAATAAATCAATGAAAAATTTTCACATGTCACCTATTTCAGATAGTGGTGTACTTTCTCTGAATGAAAAAACATACCTTGGACTAATAACTACAAACTCGAGAGTTCAAAACATCAAAGTGAGACAAGTTCAATATTTCTTAGTTTCACCTTCATCTCACTGGAACTCATGAAGTCAGACAGATCCGATTGTCTTGAACTTGATTTTTGCTATGGGATTCTTGTTATATTTTTCTTCATGCTGTTGTTCAAATTTCACGAAGACACATAAGAATTCACAAGATTCTCTCTAGAGAGCTGACTGCTGAAATTGGATCGCTTAAATGACTCGATGGAACATTTACGACCTCTAGTAAAGAGCTTTTGATAGAAAACCACTTTTTTGGAAATCTGACTCGTGATAACAACAGACCTACCATCTTCGAGAGCGCTAAATGCCCAAAAAAGAACGATTGGAACGTCGCAAAGAAGGTTATCATAGCACCGGCAGTTGAATGGGCTATCAAGTCTTTACAGCCCTTCAAATATCCCGGAGAGGATGGTATATTTTCAGGTCTTCTTCAAAACGGACTGAAAATAATTTTACCTATCCTCACAAAATTGTATATAGCTAGTCTGGTGTGTAACTACATACCACCCAGTTGGTTGGCAGCAAGGGTGGTATATATACCTGAAGTGGGTCGGAGAGATCCACACCCTAAATCGGTACGACCACTTAGCCTTACATCCTTCCTGCTGAAAGGACTTGAGAGGATACTGAACGGACATAACAGGAGGGTAGCATTATATACATCCCCCCTGAATAACCACCAGAATGCTTATCAAACCGGCAAATCGACAGATTTAGCATTAACCAACCTCGTTGAGGAAATCTCCCAATCCCTTGACAACAAGGAGATTGCGGTTACTGTATTTTTTGATATTGAAGGAGCATTTGACAATGCACTACCTAAATCTATAGGATTGTCTCGGGCTAGGAAGGGTATAGAATCGACCATAACTGGCTGGATCTATGTCATGCTAGTAAACAGAACTGCAACTACGACTCCTCAAGGCGAGGCCATCAGGTTGAGGGTCACCAGGGGCTGCCTGCCCTCAAGGTGAGGTACTATCTCCCCTTCTGTGGTCGCCCCTGATGAATAGTCTGCTTTATGTCTTTGACAGAAGAAAAGTAGATCTGCAAGCTTATGCAGACGACCTTGTCATCTTGGCAAGGTCCACTTCGGGAAGGATAGCTTTTAATATCCTCCAAAGCACGTTGGACGTTATTAACAGTTGGTGCCTGAGGGAGCAGATGTCTGTCAACCCCAGCAAAACTGTTTTAATCCCCATCATCAAGAGGAGAAAATTGGACGATCTAACGCCAATTTCCCTCAATGGTGAGTACATTCCATTTGGAACGGGGGTGAAATGTATTGGCATTTCTAAAGCAAATGGAACTTCAAACGTTCAAGCCAGTTTGAAGTTCCATTTGCTTTAGATTTGTTTACTGCCAGTCTTCAAGCATAGCCCATTGACTAATAAGAATGTATTGGCATTGTCCTTGATAAAAGACTCACCTGGAACGCTCACTTGGAAAAAGTTTTACACAAAGCCAGACTGTCTCTATGGACATGTCGAAGGATTTGTGGTAAAACTTGATTGTCAGACCAATGATCAGTTATGGTGCAGTTGCTTGGTGGCCGAAGGCTTTACAGAAAACGGCCCAAGCGAAGCTTTCTGGCTTACAAAGACAGGCTTGTCTGGCTATCACTGGCGAGCTCTAGTGAACTTAGGTCACCGATGCGAGGTAAGTAATAAAAATAGGTTGCAATTGTGCTTGTTTTATTTTACGTAGTGAATCACTCCGAAGGTTGAGGTCGCATATTTGTTTTGCATTGTCTATAAGTAGACCGGTACTTATCTATTCCAAATTCAATACTTTTTTCTGCTAATACTAGAGAAAAAGTGTGGTTCTATGTGTATATTTCACTAATTCCGCAACTAATATGTCCATATTCATGTGACAAATTGAACCTTCTTAGTCATTTGGTCAGGTTTTTCCTTCATAATCTTAGGCATAATCGATGGATCCACATTTCTTTACTATCTAGGTCGCTTGTATGAATAATATCTATCACATATGAATATCAACATTGATTTTATCATGTTGTAAGATGCACTTTCGTTTTGGTATGT